GCTGGTCTCAAACTCCTGGACTCAAGCAATTCACCAGCCTTGGCCTCCCAAAGTGCTGGGGTTACAGGGATGAGCCACCATGCCTGGCCTACATCTCTGTTTCTTACAGTCCTTACATCCAACAGTCTTCAACACTAGTGTATAAGTAAAGGTTCGCAGTGTGAGCTTTGGAGTTAGATGGACCTTTGAACTTGAGTCCTGACGTCATCAAGTATAAACTAGTTAGTGACTTAACTTCTCATGGCCTCAGTGAACTCATCTGAAAAAATGGTGAGAGCCAGGCACAGTGGCTCAGGCCTGTAATCCCAACACTTTGGGAGGCCAAGGCAGGCAGATCACCTGAGGCCAGGAGTTCGAGACCAGCCTGGCCAACATGGTGAAATCCTGTCTCTACTAAAAATACAAAAATTAGCTGGTGCACACCTGTAGTCCCAGCTACACGGGAAGTTGAGACAGGAAAATAACTTGAACCCAGGAGGCAGAGGTTGCAGTGAGCTGAGATCTCACCACTGCGCTGCAGCCTTGGCGACAGAGCAAAACTCTGTCTCAAAAAGAAAAAAAAGGAAGAATGGTGATAATAATACCTACCTCAGAAGACCCTTGAGGATATTAAACGAGCTTATGCATGTAAAGACCTCTCTCTGTCTGCCAAGTGCCTGACATGTAGTTAGTGCTCAGTAAATGTTAGTTATTCTACTTTCTAAATAGCATTTCAAGATTCTGTTGCATCAACTCCGTGCTCCCAAGCCCACTTAGCAGTTCTTCCCATTTCTAGATTTTAGCTATAATATTACACGTCTTTATATAAATTGGTGGGTTTTAAAAATTTTCCCTGGTGGTTTTTGTTTTTGTTTTTGTTTTTTTTGAGACAGAGTCTGGCTCTGTTGCCCAGGTTGGAGTGCAGTGGCATAATCTCGGCTCACTGCAATCTCCGCCTCCTGGGTTCAACCAATTCTCCTACCTCAGCCTCCCGAGTAGCTGGAATTACAGGTACCCGCCACCACACCTGGCTAATTTTTGTATTTTTAGTAGAGACGGGGTTTCACCATGTTGGCAAGGCTGGTCTCGAACTCCTGACCTCAAGCAATCCGCCCTCCTCGGCCTCCCAAAGTGCTGGGATTACAGACGTAAGCCACTGCGCCCAGCCTTCCCTGATTTTTTTGATGTGGAAACTGAAGACTGGAGAAGTGAAATAACTTGTCAAACAAAGATCATATGCTTTTAGTGTTAGAGCCAAGCCTAGGAACCAGGGCCCAGTACTCTGAGCCTTGGTCTCTTGTTATCACCCTGCCAGCCCCCAGACTCACTGGAGACTTGAAGGCAGGTCCTTCCTGGCTTCTGTTCACCAGGCTAAATTATTCGGATCTCCCATTGTGTCCTCTGACATCTCCTCTCTCTTTCATCACCCTGGAGGTCCCTCATCAATTCAGCATAATTGGATCAGCATCCCTGCTGGTCCCTGGGGAGTGGGAGCAGATGATGACTAATGCTTTAGAGACCTGGACTCCACCCTCAGCACCTCTGGATCTCTGTTGGTTGATGCTGTGCAGTCAGACGGGGACGGGGATCCTGTCTGACTCAGGATCCCTCTCTCCTACCTGGAGCACTGTTTGATTTCATTGAATACACCCTCCTAGAACAGTAGAGCCTAGAGAGACCCTAGAGATTGGCTGGGTGCAGTGGCTCATGCCTGTAATCCCAGAACTTTGGAAGGCCAAGTCAGGCGGACCGCTTGAGGTCAGGAGGTCAAGACCCGCCTGCCCAATATGTCGAAACCCCGACTTTCTACTAAAAATACAAAAGTTAGGCAGGTGTGGGGGCGCACACCTGTAATCCCAAATACTCGAGAGGCTGAGGCAGGAGAATCACTTGAACTCGGGAGGCAGAGGTTGCAGTGAGTGGAAATCTTGTCACTACACTCCAGCCTGGGCAACAGAGTGAGACTCCATCTAAAAAAAACAAAAAAAAAAACAGGGAGAGCCCCCAGCCCCAGACCCTGTTATTTAAAAAATGAGGAAACTGAGGCTCAGTGATGCAGGTTGATCTGTGGCAGATGTGGGGCTGGGACCCAAACCTCCTGACTCCAATGTGCTGTTGGGAAGAAGGCACTGGAGCCGGGCAGGTGAACCCGGGCAAGGGAGTGAAACAACCCTCTCGATTTCCTGTTGTGTGAGTTAGCTGTGCTCAGCTCAGGGAGGTGATAAGCATTAAATGAGATAACTGTTGTAGACCACGGAGTGCTGTGCTCAATAAACGATAGTTATTACTTACTAGAGCACAGTCATAAAGAGGCCAGCTGGGCTTTGGAGTCAAAAAGCTATTCTATTCAAATCCTAGTTAAACACTTACTAGCTGTGATTTGGGACAACTTATCTAACAAGAGCTAATACTTATTGAATTTCACTTGTTCCCAGCATTAAGCTAAGTGCCTTAGAGATATTATTTCATGTAATTTTACTAACAGCTTTCTGACGTAGGTACTATCAGTATCCTGATTTTAGGATTGAAGCTACTGAGGCATGAGTCATTTTCCCTTCAGCAGCCTTTTTTTTTTTTTTTTTTTTTGAGACAGTCATGCTCTGTTGTGGGCTGGAGTGCAATGGCATGGTCTCGGCTCACTGCAACCTCCACCTCCCAGGTTCAAGTGATTCTCCTGCCTCAGCTTCCCGAGTAGCTGGGACTATAGGGGCATGCCACCACACTCGGCTCATTTCTGTATTTTTAGTAGAGATGAGGTTTCGCCATGTTGGCCAGGCTGGTCTTGAACTCCTGACCTCGTGATCTGCCCGCCTTGGCCTCCCAAAGTGTTGGGATTACAGGCGTGAGCCACCACTCACAGCCAGCAGCCTATTTTTCTCTGATTATCCTCTAGCTTCCATTCTTTTCTGCCATGCATACCTATCTTCTCCCAGTGCTTGAGGATTCTCTCCTGCTTTTGAGCTTTGGAATAGGCCATAGTGTCTCTCTCTCTTTCTCTCTTTTTGAAACAGGGTCTCACTCTGTCACCCAGGCTGCAGTGCAGTGGCAAGGTCACAGCTCACTGCAGCCTTAACCTCTTGGGCTCAAGCAATCATCCCACCTCAGCCCCCTGAGTAGCTGGTACTACAGGGGTGTGCCACCACACCCAGCCAATTTTTTTTTTTTCTTTCTTTTTTTTTTTTTTTTTTGTAGAGACAGGATTTTGCCATGTTGCTCAGGCTGGTCTCAAACTCCTGGGCTCAAGTGATCCCACCTCAGCCTCCCAAGGTGCTGGGATTACAGGCATATTTTTGCTACTTACGCTCCTTTTTTTTTTTTTTTTGAGACGGAGTCGTGCTCTGTCGCCCAGGCTGGCCGGATCTCAGCTCACTGCAAGCTCCGCCTCCCGGGTTTACGCCATTCTCCTGCCTCAACCTCCCGAGTAGCTGGGACTACAGGCGCCCGCCACCTCACCCGGCTAGTTTTTTGTATTTTTTTTAGTAGAGATGGGGTTTCACCATGTTAGCCAGGATGGTCTCGATCTCCTGACCTTGTGATCCACCCGTCTCGGCCTCCCAAAGTGCGGGGATTACAGGCTTGAGCCACCGCACCCGGCCCTTACGCTCTTTTTTTTTTTTTAAGAGACAGGGTCTCTCTCTGTTGCCCAGGCTGGAGTGCAGTGGTGCAATCACAGTGTAGCAGAACCAGCCGCAGACAAAACTCCTTAGACACCGAGTTAAAGAAGGAAGGGGTTTATTTGGCTGGGAACATCGGAAAGACTCCTTCCTGTCTCAAGAGCTGAGCTCCCTGAGTGAGCAATTCCTGTCCCTTTTAAGGGCTGACAACTCTAAGGAGGTCTGCATGTGATGGACTGAGCAAGCAGAGGGTATGTGACGGGGCTGCATGCACCGGTGGTCAGAGTGAAAGAGAACAGACCAGGAAGTTTCACAATGTCTTTTCTATACAATGTCTGGAATCTATAGGTAACATAACCGGTTAGGTCAGGGGTCGATCTTTAACTACTAGGATTAGATCAGGCAGGCCCAGGTCTGGTTTCGGGTCTGGTTCCTTGGTTTCAGGTCTGGTTCCTAGACGCCAGGCTACCTGCCTTTAGTTTCACTTCTCTTTCCTTTTCTGAGTATAAAATAATATAAAACAATATGAGAGGGTCTGTCTCTCTTCTCTCATTTCCCCCCTTTGAGACTCTCACTTTTTATTAGTGGGAGTTCTCACTCTTATTTTCGCTACTTATGTCTTCCTGTGCCATAGATCGATAATGATTCATATAGTACACTTGTGCTGATACATAACATGAAGTGACATTGAGAGACTGGGCTATATGCTCGACTAATTGCAAAAACCAATTTCTTGTTTTTCCTGGAATTTCTGGTACTGGCATATTCAGTTCATCATAGAAGGTTTGAAATACTCGCTCAGGAGAGTGTTTAAATATTTTTCTCAAACCACGATATTTACTTGAAGATTGAGTCCAGCTCCATCAATTTTTAGGGTTATACGTTCTCTTTTTTCTAGCGAGGATTAAGGGGGTTGGTTATTACTAGTTCTAAGGGGTTACACTGACCACTAGTAGAGGAAGGGCCACTTTTCCTTTGCTGAAGGTGGACAGGATTTTTTCATTTTTTTTTATTCAAGTAACCTAAATGACACAAGACCAGTATCTACATTTATTTTCACACAGTCTTAATTCATGATAAATATACTTATTTTTTTGTCATATAGTCTCTTTTCTAATCACTGAAGCCTTGAACTTTTGGGCTCAGGTGATCCTCCCACCTCAGCCTCTTGAGTAGCTAAGACTATAGGCATGCACCACTACATCCAGCTTTTTTTTTTTTTTGATAGAGATAGGGTCTCGCTATGTTGCCCAGGCTGGCCTGGAACTCCTGGCTTCAAGCAATCCTCCAGCCTCAGCCTCCACAAGTGCTGGGATTACAGGCATGAGCCTCCTGTCCTGCCTGCAGTCTCTTAAATGCCCTTTCACCCCTTCTCTCCACCAAGTCTGTTCTTCCCCTCTGTTCCAGCGTTGCTGCTGACTCTCCTCTAAGGAACCTTCCCTGTACGCCTGTGCAAGCTCCTCCAGCATCCTCTCCCTCCTGCCTGCTGAAAGCAGCTGGATCTATTCCTCAGGTTTGTTAGTTTTACTTCTCTTCTGTGTATCACCTATCAGGCCTCATTATGCACCCTGGTTCCCTCTTAACACAGAAGACTTCCTAAGGAACACATCTCCCCAGCCAATTCAATTCAGTCAACATGGCTTGCACATGCTAATTTGACTGAGTAGAGGATTCTAGGTACAAATTCCTATTTTTTTTCCCTCAGAATATTGAAGACCTCACTCCTTTGTCTTCTAGCATGCAGTTGTGTCGGTTAAAGATCTGATGCAGTCTGTGTCTCAGTCCTTTATTTCTGGAAACTTTGATGGCTGACTTTTATCCTTTTTTGCGGGGGGGGAGCAGACTGTCGCTTGATTCCCCCAGGCTGGAGTGCAGAGGTGCAATCTTGGCTCACTGCAACCTCCACCATCCGGGTTCAAGTGATTCTCCTGCTTCAGCCTCCTGAGTAGCTGGGATTACAGGCACCTGCCACCACGCCCAGATGATTTTTGTATTTTTAGTAGAGATTGGGTTTCACCATGTTGGCCAGGCTGGTCTCAAACTCCTGACCTCAGGGGATCTGCCTGCCTCACCCTCCCAAAGTGCTGGGATTACAGGTGTGAGCCACCTAGCCCAGTCCCTTTATCCTTAAAGGTCAGATACTTCACCAGTATGGGTACCTAGATATACATCTCTTTTGCACTGGAAGACTTTTAGAAATAGAAGATTTGGGCCAGGCGCGGTGGCTCACACCATAATCCCAGCACTTTGGGAGGCCGAGGTGGATCATGAGGTCAAGAGATCGAGACCATCCTGGCCAACATGGCGAAACCCTGACTCTACTAAAAATACAAAAATTAGCTGGGCATGGCTTGTGCCTGTAATCCCAGCTACTCAGGAGGCTGAGGTAGGAGAATCACTTGAACCTGGGAGGCGGAGGTTGCAGTAAGCAGAGGTTGTGCCATTGTATTCCAGCCTGGGCAATGAGAGCGAAACTTCATCTCAAAAAATAAAAAAGAATGGGTCTGTTATAGAAGCCATTGTGGCCATTTCTAGTGAGCACTCTCACCATATGGTAGCTCTGCACCACCTTGGGACTCTGCAGAGGGTCCCCACTAGCAAGAAGGTCCTCATTGGATGCAGCCCCTAAATATTGGACTTCCCGACATGTATAAATTACCCAGTCTCAGGTATTCAGTTACAGCAAAAGAAAACCGACGAACACAGGCCCAATCTCTTGTAGAATTATGTAGACACCTGTTGGACCAGTCATGTGGACAGGAGAGATACTGAGATACCTATGCCACGACCTACCTTTTACAGCCAAGGCAGGCAAGGTGCTGTGACTGTCTACCACAACCATGTGGGATGGCAGAAGCCCCCCAAGGGGCAGAATTCCAGGCAGACAGACTACCCTTATCCTCATAAGGACTCTAGAGTATTTCTTCTGGGATGGAGTTGCCTTTTTCTTTACCTTCTGGGACCTCTTTTTTTCTTTTTTTTAAACTGGGATCTCTCACTTTGTTTAGAAAGCATTTCGAATACCTTTAGCAGATTAAAGAAGCCATTCAGTTATGAATGCATTGACACAACACTATTCAGAAGGACATTTGCCCTAAAACCAAATTATTAAATTGATAACATATTTTAGTCATCAAGTGGCATATGCTAAGCAGACATCTTCCCTTCCCTTCTGAGCCCCACTCCAATGCCAGCTCTCACCTCTGGAAATCAAGGATGATTGGCAGTGGAGAGTGAATCAGAGGCATAGTTCAAACCAAGAATGGAGTCAAAGTCAACAGTCCAGTGAAACTCGGGGTAGGGTGAACATCCGAGTAAGTAAGCATTGAGTATGTCTTTCATAACCTGCCTGGTAATTTTTTAAAAAAACAGTGATTTTGTATTTTGACTCGATTCTAACAAAATGTCTCCCATATCAAAATGTTCCTTTTATCAAATTGGGTTTCCCAAACTAAGCTTCTTTGAGGCATAGTTGGACTAAGACTCACATAGCTGACTTCTAGGCCACTACGTTTATCAGATAGGGCACAGTCTCCTGGCAGAGGGGTCCCTGGCACAGGCAAGACAGATTCCAGGCCCAGATTCTGCTGTTATTTGTCTCCCATGGGTTGCTGCCTGAGCAATTGTTAGATGGAGGAGATGCTCCACCCAGCCTTTGTCTCACCCTTCACACCCCCTTCCTCTCCCTTCTGCATTGCAGATCTGAAGTGGCAAGGGTGACCTGACTGCCTGTGTCCCCAGTCCCCAATCCCAGGCCTTGCCACTGTCTTGCCTCCTTGTCTTCAATAAATAAAGGTGAGGCCCAAGAGATACCCTCACCTTCTTGCTCTCCACAGTTCAAAACTCAGGAGCTGCAGAGCCTGTAGGACGTCCTCTGAGCTCTTTTAGGTGGCTGGGAAGAGAGCTAGGGCACAGCCCTTGGATCCTTGGACCCTTCATGTAAACAAGGAGATGACCTCTCCCAGGGAGCTGTCCTTGGCACTTTAGGATCTCAGCCTTGAGTAGCTACTTTTCTTTTGTTTTTGTTTTGATTTATCTTGGGCTTTCCCCTACTTCTGTTTACTCTCACACCCCCTATTTCCTTGCTCTTTGGGAAACAGACTGTCTTAGTCTGTTTGGATTGCCGTAACATGACACTGGGTGGCTTAAACAACAGACTTTTATTTCTCCTAGTTCTGGAGACTGGGAAGTTCATGATCAAGGTGCCGGCTGATGAAGCTTCTGGTGAGTTGCCCTCTTCCTGGCTTGCAGATGACTGCCTTCTTGCTATGGCCTCACACAGCAGAGAGAGAATGAGCTCTGGTCTTTCTTCCTCTTCTTATAAGGACATTAATCCCATCATAGAGTCCCCAGCCTGATGATCTCATCCAAACCTAATCATCCCCCCAGAGGCCCCACCTCTGAATACCATCACATTAGGCATTACGGCTTCAACATATACATTTCAGGGGAACACATTCAGTCATAATAGATGCTTATTGTAGAAATTTTTGAAAAATACAAAAATATGAAACAAAAGAAAACCACAAACTATCCTGACAACCAAAGAAAAGCACAAATGCCATCCTATCATCCAAAGAAACTTCCAGCATACTTTCAAATCTTTTTAAGCACTTACTTTTAAAAATATATATCATATATAGGTTGGGCACAGTGGCTCATGCCTGTAATCCCAGCACTTTGGGAGGCTGAGGCAGGTGGATCATTTAAGGTCAGGAGTTCAAGAGCAGCCTGGCCAACATGGTGAAATCCCATCTCTACAAAAATACAAAAATTATCTGGGCATGGTGGCGGGCATCTGTAATCCCAGCTACTCCGGAGGCTGAGGCAGGAGAATTACTTGAACCTGGGAAGCAGAGGTTGCAGTGAGCCAAGACAGTGCCACTGCACTCTAGCCTGGGCAACAAAGTGAGACTCCATGTCAAAAATATATATATATGTGTGTGTGTGTGTGTGTGTGTGTGTGTGTGTGTGTGTGTGTGTACCTCATGAGCATTTTTCCATATTAAACAATCTTTTTTTTTTTTTTTTTTTTTTTTTTTTTGAGACAGAGTCTCGCTCTGTCGCCCAGGCTGGAGTGCAGTGGCATGATCTCGACTCACTGCAAGCTCTGCCTCCTGGGTTCACGCCATTCTCCTGCCTCAGCCTCCCGAGTAGCTGGGACTACAGGTGCCCGCCACCATGTCCGGCTAATTTTTTTGTATTTTTAGTAGAGACGGGGTTTCACCGTGTTAGCCAGGATGATCTCAATCTCCTGACCTCGTGATCCGCCTGCCTCGGCTTCCCAAAGTGCTGGGATTACAGGCTTGAGCCACCGCACCCGGCCTATAAATATTTTTAATGTTCACATATTCACCATTTATATGACTAAATTTCTTACTCTATAACTGTAACATAATTTATGTAACCAACTTCCCAATGTTGGATGCTGAGGTTATTTTTATTTTTTTCCTGTAAAAGTTAACATTATTATTTGTAATGGAACTGTTCTCTGTCATGACTATGGGGGGGGTGGTTCCACAAATCTACATGTGATAAAATTTGATTTAACTAAATACACACACACACACAAATGCGTACTTGTACAGTGGTGAAATCTGAATAAGGTGGGTGGATTATATGAATGTCAATTATCTGATTGTTATTATGAAGATGTCACATTTGAGGAAAACTGGGTGAAGGGTATATGGGATCTCCCAATATTATTTCTTACAACTGCATGTTAATCTACAAATTAATTCAAAGTAAAAAGTTTTGGCCATGTGCTCATACGTATAATTTCAGCACTTTGGGATACCAAGGCAGGAGGATTGCTTAAGCCCAGGAGTTTGAGACCAGCCTGGGCAACACAGTAAGACCCCATCTCTACAAAAAATTTAAAAATTAGCTGGGCATGGTGGCATGGGCATGTGGTCCCAGCCAGGACCCATCTACTCAGAGGGCTGAAATGGAAGGATTGCTTGAGCCCAGGAGGTCGAGGCTGCAGTGTGCTGTGATCATGCCACTGAGCTCCAGCCTGGACAACAAAGCAAGACCCTGTCTCAAAAATAATAAAAATAGGCTGGGCAAGGTGGCTCATGCCTGTAATCCTAGCACTTTGAGAGACTGAGACGGGCAGATCACTTGAGGTCAGGAGTTCGAGACCAGCCTGGCCAACATGGCAAAACCCTGTCTCTACTAAAAATATAAAAATTAGCCAAATGTGGTAGTGCACACCAATAATCCCAGCTACTCAGGAGGCTGAGGCAGGAGAAACGCTTGAACCCAGGAGGTGGAGGTTGCAGTGAGCCGAGATCAAGCCATTGCACTCCAGCCTGGGCGAAAGAGAGAGGCCTTGTCTCAAAACAAACAAACAAACAAATAATAATAATAGGTGCTTAAAAACCACAACACTGGACCTCTTTTGTAAGTACATGTGTACTTCGAACTTCTAGTTTTTCCTTTGGGTAGATTCCTATGAGAGAAATTACTCATAAGAAAATTCAATAAGAAGTAAGAGCTCTCAATCTCAGCATATTAGGGTTTCCTGGCCATCACCCAAGGAGCTTTGCAGGCATAGAAAACTGATATGCATGCTGCCGAGGAAGAGAGCTTAGACATACTCACAGAGTTTTCCACAAACCTGGAGTGCCGGCCGACTAACGTACAATGAGAAATATAAGGAGAGGGTCCAGGACTCCTGCCCCTAGCCTGAGTTTCCTCTCCCTATAGCCCTTCACAGGCAAAGCCACATTCTAATTGGAAGATTGACTTGTGCTGTGAAACAAGGGAAATTAAGTGACACGATCCCGGTGTTAAAGATACCAGGGTAAGCCCTGCTGTGCACATCTCCATAGCAGGACTTAAACCACTGCCACCAGAGACAGGCACGTGGGTTCTCAGGCAGGGCACCCCTCCTTAGCACTGCTTGAATGGGGACAGCCTATATTTGCCTCTGTAACACTATTTCTGGGCTTCCGAGGTTTGCTAACCTGTGTTCCATCAGTGCATTGCTCCTTTAGGTGTGTGAAGATGTTCCAATGTGAAGATGTTACAGATCAATCTTGTTGGCCTGGAAGCTGGTCTGTCTCATGGCACTTGTTCTTCTTTTTTTGAGATGGAGTCTCGTTGTGTCGCCCAGGCTGCAGTGCAGTGGTATGATCTTAGCTCACTGCGACCTCTGCCTCCCAGGTTCAAGTGATTCTTCTGCCTCAGCCTCCCTAGTAGCTGGGATTACAGGCACATGCCACCACGCCTTGCTAATTTTTGTATTTTTGTAGAGATGGGGTCTCTCCATGTTGGCCAGACTGGTCTTGAACTCCTGACCTCAAGTGATCCACATCATGCCTTGGCCTCCCAAAGTGCTGGGATTACAGGCGGGAGCCACTGTGCCTGGCCCAGCACTTGTTCTTAACCCCTAGTTCAATAGACCTCTGCAGGGCTCTTCCTCTGGTATTGTATGCAAAATTTTGAATATATGATCAAATGTGTATTTTCTGGAGAGACAGAAAATAGTGTTTACTACATTTTCAGAAAAGGGTCTCAATTTAATAGTGAACATCGTGTGAGCATTAAACTACATGCATTAATTACCTAATTTAATCCCCACTGAGGTCAAGAATCTTGCCCCAAGTTACCAGTTTGGACAAGTTAAAGAATACTGCTTTAAAGTGGCTTTGGGCCTGGCACGGTAGCTCACGTCTATAATCCCAGAACTTTAAGAGGGTGAGGCAGGAGGATTGCTTGAGCTCAGGTGTTTGAGGCAATGTGCTAAAACCTGTCTCTACAAAAAATTTTAAAAATCAGTTGGGGGTGGTGCCACGCCTGTAGTCCCAGCTACTTGGGAGGCTGAGGTAGGAGGATAGCTTGAGCCTGGGTGGTCGAGGCTATAGTGCGCTGTAATCATGCCACTGCACTCCAGCCTGGGCAATGGAGTGAGACCCTGCCTCAAAAATAATAAATGAATGAATAAATAAAGTGATTTGTAAATCTGTTCTCTGGTATAGTCGATGTTTGTACTAAGGGGAGTCTTATTTCCCTTTTATCTTCCTAGATGAAGAAAAAAAAATTATTGGTGGCAAGCACACAACCCATGCCAAACAGAGCTGTGGAATGGCTTTGTTGCTGCCTCCCAGAGGCTAAACTCCGCTGTCTGTGCCAGCATCTCTAGTTACCTGCTTTCTCTTGCTCACAGGTCTGTGTATGCACTCAGACTAACCTGTGAACTGGCACCTTGTGCCTGCATCTCACTGACTTTGGCAGCTTGGATGCCGTCTTCTCCTATAAATGCCCTTCTTTCAAAAAGCAGCCCTGCTGCCTGTTTACTCTCTTTCACTGTATCAGAGTCTAGAACCTGCAGGTTTTCTAAAAGATCATTGTGTTGCTGTTTATCAAAAGCGGCATGCGTTTCCGTCAGCTTTCCAACAGAAAATCAGGCGAGAGGCTATTCAACATTCACTTATTCACTGAATATTCACTAATTTTCCAGACATTCTTCTAGGTACCAGGGATACTGGCAAAAAACATTTACCCTAATGGAGCCTGGGTTCTAGGGGACGAAAACAGACAATAAGCAAATAAATGAATAAATGAATATTCAGTGAATAAGTGAATGTTGAAGAACCTCTCTCCTGATTTTCTGCTGGAAAGCTGACAGAAATACATGCCGCCTTTGACAAAAAGCAATGCAGTGATCCCTTAGAAAATCCGCAGATTCTGCCAGGCATGGTGGCTCATGCCTGTAATCCTAGCACTTTGGGAGGCCGAGGTGGGTGGATCACAAGGTCAGGAGTTTGACACCAGCCTGGCCATGGCGAAACCCCATCTCTACTAAAAATACAAAGATTAGCTGGGCTTGGTGGCATGCGCCTGTAATCCCAGCTACTCGGGAGGCTGAGACAGGAGGATCGCTTGAACCCGGGAGGCAGAGGTTGCAGTGAGCAGAGATCATGCCATTGCACTCCAGCCTGGGCAACAGAGCAACTTTGTATCAAAAAAAAAAAAAGGTATTGTAAGGTCCGAATGAAATTTTACATATGTGTGTGTGTGTGTGTGTGTGTGTGTGTGTGTGTGTGTGTCAAATATACAAATGGGAAGCATTGTCATAGCTTTTGCTAGATAATCATGAAGGCCCATCCAGGCCAGGGTTCCTGTGTTCTTGAAGGGTCTTAGTTGGATCCACAGGCCCAAGGGGAGGGACTGGAGCTCTCCTTCCCTTCCTGAATCCAGCCCCAAGATGAAGTCTGAACTTCTCTCGCCATGATTTAGATGAAATTCACTCTGCAGCAGTGTGAACACCCCTCTCTGAAAACAGAGGGTTTTCGTTTTTAAGAAAGACTCCTCATAGTTCTCTCTACTCCCTGCCCGGTGAAGGTGTGGTCTTAAATCTAGTTCACTGATTGCAAAAACCTGGCTTGATTCAACACACTTGATCTATTTTCATCTCTCTGCCGCTTGCTTAAAATAAGGAGCTCATTGCTATGCTGCCCACGGCTGCGTCTAAATCATAACTGAGAGTTGAATACATTTTTCTCTCTTCTGCTAAATACCATTTTTATCTTCGCCGAGCCCACACGTCCTCGGTCGACAGTGTTTGCTTTAGCAGTCCATGCCTGGACTTGGAGGGATAGTCAGGTGACAAAAGACCCCTCCCGAGCTCC